GTTGAAAACTCCTAGTTGTATAAATAGAGAAAGTCAAAGAATCATCAAGCTTTATGACGGCAAAACAAGCCCATTAGACACGCTTACCCATTTGAAGTGTTGAGCCATTGTCCACCAAATTTTCAGCAATAATATTTCCGATCTTCCGTTCTTCTTCGCTGCTGTTTCCAGTAGGCAGTTCATGTAAGGGGAACGAATCGTGCTCTTCGACAAGCACGTCTATGTGCGAAGAGTGGATCAAGCTGTCACCGAATGTTCTCGGCATGTTTTTGTTCACCATGCCTGAAAAGAGGATGTCTTAAAGACAGCGCCTGCAACCAACCAAGGTGCAGGAATCCTTTAGAGTACAAGATGGCACAGCCTGCGGTCACTGAGGATATCCCTTTCAAAAACGCTCAGTAAGAGTAAAGCGACAGCTCAGCTGACTCCGCCTAAGAGGGCGGAGTCAAAGTTCCACTTCGATCATTTTTTTCATTGCCAAGATACGTTAACGGCGATGATTGTTAATCTTATCTAATATGCCTTGGAGAATGAGTTGTACCAAGTGGCGATTATACTCTAGTTCGCTGCGCACGGCTGGGCCTGTCAGGCAGAAAATGAGTAATACGAGCGACATGATACAGTCATATCATTTGCTACAACTGGTGGAAACCGGTTTGGCACCGCGCCAAACTCATCCACCCGACACGCCCAACCGTAGCAAACTACACTATAGATTCAGAGAGCTTGCCCAAAGTTTAACCAACTCGTACATTTTCATTCCTATACATGAGGTCTTTTTAGGGCATTTTAGCGGTTTATTTTGCTTTTTTCTTCGTTGGCATTACACTTAGAACTAATAGTTCTAAGCTCTACGATATCTTATCTTGAAAAGAATTCATGAACTACTTGAGACATTCAAACAGGTTAGTAGCCTCTCGACCTTCCTGCAAGAATATTTCACATAAATTTCAAAAAATAGAAATCTAATTAAAAACAAGTCTAGAATGTGCAACTCAGGTGGCAGCCTGGAAAAAAATTCATCACTCAGTTGTAGGCCAACACGTTTTGTGAGTAAATAAATGGGTATGTCCAGAAAGGCTCAACTCACAAAGCGCAAGTAAAGAAGCGGTTCCAGAATGAAAGTATTCGATCTGCAACTGCTGCCGCCGTGGAACAAAAGGCTGCGGAACGACAAATAACTCGAGGTTTACATCCCTTCAAGGAAATGCCATTCATTCTACACAATTCCCTCTTGAAGACAGTCGTTAACATCCTTTTTTTCAAGCGGCCATGCTACCATTATTCTTCCGGCACATCTATTTATAAAGCTTTATTGTCCAAACGAGATTTCTGGATCCGAAACCACACGAAGTTGTGTGCGAAGATGAACACTTGGAAAGGCTTTCTCACGACGTGGCTTTGACGTGACAACATTAATTATTATGGACAAAAGTTTCATTCATCACTCGCATAAGTTGAAAGATGTCCTGTTCCAAAAAGGTTCTCCCGCTCCTGCTGGAAGTCTTCGGCTCGTGTGTCAGATTCAACAGCTGAGAATGTTCTCCATGGAATCTCTCGCAATAGCTCCATTAGTTCAGAAACATTACTTCACGACAATATCAAGCACAAGAGAAAAATGCAAAGGAGCACATTCAGCAAGGATACAAACCCTCAACCACGCATTCGAAAATCCTACGACGTAACCACTTGGCCAAGCTACTGCGAACGTCTGGCTGAAGAAAGAGACTGATCGACTCCAGGCTGAATACGACCGACTGAAGAACGCTTCACCGTATCTACCAGACGAAGACACTCTTTATGCCGACCTCAAGGATGTCTGGTTGAAATTACATGCCATGATCAAACCCATATCTGAAATAGAGACTCAAATTGATAACTTCCGTAGAGGAAGAGGGCACTTGGAGGAAACGAAGTTTACGTGGAGACCTTCTGCGAGAGACAACGGGGAAACTACAGGATCAACTCCTCTACTACAGCGCAAGACTCCACGCTCTATACACTCATCTTCACTCTCCTTCCGTTAATGACCGCCACAAGACTAATGGAGGAAACGGAATGGGATGCGATGATGAGTCAGCCAGTGCTAAACTTTGAGACTCTGTGAAGACAGAGCCTGCTGAACTCGAGCAGCAAATCCAAGCGCACTTGGAGAAACTAGACAAGTAACTTGGAAGCTGGATAAACTGGACGACGAGCTGTTCAAAGAAGATGACAAAGAAATCGAAAAATTTAATAAGCGCGTCCTGATAGAACTCCATATGATTCGCTCAAAGTTAGAATCACTGGAGCTTAGACTACTCAACCACTTCTGTGACGAAGAGGAAGACGACGCTGTCGATCCTTCGTTCAGGGCTCTAGTTGATACCACTACCCGAACTACCAAGACTCTGAGCACGGCGAGGATTCGAAGGAACCGCAGGAAGCAGTAGAGCAATCGATGACTCAGGGTAATTCATCAGACACTCGAGAAGCAGAGGCGGCTCGTATTCAAGGAAATGCAGAATTCATGGAACCTCTAGAGGGCGTTGAGGACGACATCATTAACCCGCAAGACGTAATGATGCTCGTAGAAGAAGACATGGTGGAAGTTGACGATGCCACAGAAGACGAAGAGAAGCAAGCACGACAAGCCAAAGGGGGCTCAAGAATGATGACTAGGCGAGTTCGAGACTCAAGAAGGAGAACTAGCGACACAGGGAAGTGGATTCTGCAGAACGTTCGTTCAAAGAAGGGCGAGATATGAAAATGAGAGCGAAATGCCTTGCGTTTTCTGCAAGGTGAAAGGAGATCATTACTCCGATAGCTGCCGCACCTTCATGAGTGGTCGAGAGCGGAGGGAAATTTTGGCTCAGGAAGACAGATGTCCCGCCTGCTTGGACTGGTGGTGTGACAGCGGGCCCACATTTCGGAAAAAGGATGGGAGATGTCGCTACTGCGGACAAACGGGACACAACTCGTTGTGAATTGCCGGACGAACTGAGGCGATTAAGCCAGAGACTCGAGAGTCTACGCAGAGACATGGATAACGCCATGACGAGGTTTCACCGCCTGAAATCGAGACTCGAGAGACATGGCATCGATAACCCATGAGTTTCTTCTCTAAGGAAGGTTCTCTGAAAAAAGAAAAAAGACTCATTTCCTTCCCTCAGACATCCTTATATCCGGCGAGGGGAGTATCGCGGAAAGTCTCGCGATTCTTTTTCTTCGTATTCATACATCATGAAAAGGTATGTGGACATTTATGCATTTGCAGTTTGCCTTTTTTTGCTCTGTATGCTCTGTATGATCTAAAGAGAAAATGTTTGATTAACAGGCTCTGCTGACGGACGGTTATCGGTTCATCTCAAGCTCTGAAGCCACGCCAGCGACTGCTGTATAAAGTCCAACGTATGACTCATTCGCAGCTCCTTCACGCTACTCTCTACAGACTCATTCTTTTCCTTAGTTTTATGATCATGTGACTCGTTAGGATTCTAGTAGGTTTGCTATTAGACGATTAGGCTCTTGAGGTCGATTGATGTTATTTTTCGTTATGGCTTCTTCAGTTTAATACCCAAGTTTGAGCTTTATATCCCGTTGATTGTTGACAATAAAACTCGGTGTGGTGCTGTGTGGTAACATTTCACTAGAAAAG